TGCCCAAAGAGAAACGACGCAACATGACTCTCCTCTACAATCCTATGTCTGTGAATGAATTGTATACATCCTATCCTAGTATACCGTGGTGGGAATACCTTAACACCATCCTGGAACCGCAAGCACAACTTAATCGAGACGAAATAATTATCGTAAATGCGCCCAGCTATCTAAAGGATTTCGAACGGCTGATTAGCACAACGCCGAAAAGGGTGCAGGCAAACTACGCGCTCTGGAGAGCGACTGCTGAGTCAGTTAAGTACCTAACAGATGACATCCGGAAGATAGAACTGAAGTACATAATGGAGTTAAACGGTAAAAAAGAAAGGGAGCCGAGATGGAGAGAATGCATAGGCATTGTTTCCAACAGAATGGATTTTAGCGTCGGCTCGATATACGTGAGGAAATATTTTAAAGAGGACGCGAAGGAAACCGTACTCGAAATGGTTAATAATATTAAACAGGAATTTATAAAGATCCTGAAGAAGGTGAGGGAACATATAAAAATTTTAATTTATAATTATAAAAAAATGAAAATCTTATCAAGTCTCTGACATTCTTCTAATCTATAAGGATTGGAATCTTAAAAATAAGAACATTTCTCTTTTTCATTCTTTTAGTATTTTTCTCTTTATCTGAAAATTAAAATAAATTAAAATAAAAGAAACAAAATTAAAAAATATAATATCTTGTTACATGTGTTTTGATCAATAAATTAGAATTTTAAAATCATTTTCGTTATCTATATTTGTTATTAAGAGATATTATGTTAAAGCTATTAATCTAAAAATATTTATCATATATATTTTGAAACGTTAATAAATTTTTAACAAAATTACACGCGTTTTTAGGTGGATTGGATGGATGAAAAAACTAGAAGAAGCGCTTTAGAAAAAGCAGCCGCCATGTCTTTACATGTTGCCTATCCAAATGAATTGTTAGATGATAGAAAACTCGATAATTATTATGAAGGACTTGAACTCAGTATTGATAATTATTTAGAAAACATTTATAACTTGTCTACTTTTGAAAGAAATTTCTTATTTAGTAGACTGAGACAGCCAGTGAATAAAACAGAATGGATAAATTACGGCGCGCCGGCTGTCATCAATGCGTATTCCTTACTGAATAAGAACAGTATTGGTAACTAAAAACAATTCCGTGAGAGCACATATGAATATCCCAAATAACAAATAGAATTAAAAAAAAAAATTTATTTGTCTATTCAGTCATATGTTAATTTTGAATTCATTTTTTTACATGCAAAAAAAGTCTTTTTTCATCTGAAAATTAACTCAAAATTAATGACATACGACTAAATTCTATTTTTACTCTCTGTGCTTTAAAATCTGGGATATAAATTCATTAGATTATTTTTGCGAATTAAATAATGAGCCTCTACTTCAATAATAAAATCCATAAAATTATATCAGTTTCTTATTCTTTATAATATTTGTCACTATGTACCGAGTCATGCTTTTATTTATCTTGTAGAATTGCCCGCGGGTATTTTGCAAGGCATATTTTTCAACAATGAACGGCCACGTTACATGAACTATGGCGGCATCGGGTTTATTATTGGCCATGAAATTACTCACAACTTTGATGATCAAGGCAGAGAATTTAATAAGGAAGGTAATCTTGTGGATTGGTGGGAGCCAGAGACGAAGAAGCGTTATCTCAAAAAGGCTGAATGCATAATTCATCAATATGGAAATTATACTGCAGAAGAAGTCGGATTAAACGTAAGATTAAATCTTATACATCTATTTCTATATTTATCAAATATATTGCTTTGCTATATAAAATTTCTTTTAAAATTTTGGTGCAGGAGAATCTAGATAATTATATAGATAAAATATAAGAAACTTTAGTCATATGAGTTATTTGGCAATTTACAATCAGATTTATTGGCTAGGCCTTTAAAAAGACATTTGAGAGAAATATTTTTTTTACTATATTAATAAAAAACATTTTTTTCAAGTTGAAATGTTATCATATTAATATATGTTATATTGTTACAGTTGAACGGGATAAACACCCAGGGTGAGAACATCGCGGACAATAGCGGCACAAGGGAAGCCTATTATGCGTATAAAGAATGGATTAAACGAAACAAACCGGAGCAAAGATTACCGGGGTTGCCGTACAGTCCAGAACAGATG